CACTGCTGGAACAGCTTTCAGCTACTTTCAGCTGAAATTTTTTACATGAAATTTCTGTTCCTTTTTTAGAAAATAACTGAACTATGTTTATACATAAAAACCCCACAAATTCTCAAATATATGAATGCATTTATACTTCCTTTCTGGGAAAAAAAATTAGTACCACTTAAACCACCTGTAACAACGCCTATTTTCTCTTTTCTTTTTTTCGTTCCTAAGAATAAAGGTTAGCATTGCCTTTTGAAAAGTATATATTATGCATTACTTTTCTGCATTGTGCTATCACTACATTTTTGGAATTAATTTACTATTCTTTGTTAAGTGTCCTAATTTCAAGAAGCATGCAATAAAGAGCTTAACCCCTCTTCACCTGGAAATCCTCAAAAGATTTTGTAGTTTGAGAGAGAATTTGGAAAAAGGAATTCTGGTGAAAGCAATGGTGTTTTACTTGAAAAGACTTGTGGTATAAAGAGGTAGTATAAAGCCACCTTGATAAAATGCACACATTTGTCAAAATTCCTTTGGATCCATGCACAACTGAAGTGCTGTTCCTTATTCGTTTGTACAGTGAAAAAAACATTTATCTTAACTGCAAGGTATTACCATTAAGATAAAGGCAAATTCAAAGGACGGAGTTATATTTAGATTTTTCAAGAGCAATTGGCAAGGGATTTCAATCAAAGAAGGTACAATAGAATATGGAATAAAAAAGCTGTCCTAAAGGAATAAAAGAAAACCTTCATAGCAGGAAGCTTTCAGTTCAGCAGAGGTGGCTCCAATGCCTGTACCCTTTCTTCCCTCTGGAGAGGGAGTTCTGGGAGCTAGAGACTGCCCTCAGACTGAAAAGCCAATAGTTTATATAGTTTAGATAAATGTGAGATGTTCTAAGGGAAAAAAAAAGTCAGTAAGGCAGTAACACAAGTGAATCAAATTAAATTTTAAAGTAAAGTTTCAGCATTTCTGTGGTAGCTAATGCATGGTGACTCATGAAACCTTTATTTGCCTCATTTATGGACCATCAGTACATTCATATATTCTACATGCTCTAAACTCTTAACTTTACCAAATCCTTGTCTCATAATTCTTCTGGGACAGCGAACAACTTGGCATGAATGAATCAGGATTAACTAAGAACTGAAAACATTGGGCTAAATAGAACATAGAGATTACACTACTGGGCAATTAAATACCAAGATATAGAAGATATGCACAACAAAAGCAAAGATACTCAATGCTGGAATAGAGAAGCTTCAGGAAAAAAAAAAAAGAAAACTAGATGAAGACAAGAGTAATCCCATTGGTTAACTTGGTGAGAAGCAACATTCCTAAAGGAAATTTTAGGGAAATAATGCTAAGAAGACATGTGCATTTGGCAAACTAAAGGAGAAATTCTGAAATAAATAATTTTACATGAGAGGTAGAGTCAATGTGCTTTCCTGTAGCTGGAGTGATTTCAGCTTTTCTATTAAAAACAGATTCGAAGATAATCCACACAACTACTGACCATCCTTATGTGAGCGTGTTTCTGGCTGGCAACTTTTGCAAGACTTGAGATGTGACCAAGCATCTGATTCTTGGATAAACTGTGGTCAGAAATCCTTAGTCAACCAAACAGATATTGCCCAGAGTGCAGTGGTGAAATCCTAAACAGAACTAACTTCCCCAAACAAAGTGACTTTAATGGAAAATCTGATGAAGCAACAGGTAGATAGATGTCACAATGGAGACAAAAAGCACATGGGCTATGAATCTGAGGACAGGCAAAAAGGGATAATTTGAAAAATCAGAAATTGAAAAATAAGACGCAGTTAACAGTGGGGAAGAGAGAAGGCTCCATGCTGTAGAAGGAAAGCCTGATCTTCTGAAGCGATACATAATAGAGTGAATGGAGATGAGAAAGAAAATGAGTGTGAGAAGACATCAAACCATACCGTGCAGAACACCTGCAAGCATTGTGGAATGGCAGAATGCTGCACTCAGTAACTCCTACTTTACCTAAGAGCCGGAAAGAAAGCAAACATATGAGAAACGATGTGCAAAATCCACCTTCAGCTACCACACATGTTCAAGGAGACAAAGAACAAAGGAGTCCCAGCAATGAATAGGGCTCCTGGAAAGAGAGCACTTACCATTCTGGAAACCCCAGGGTGGAGAAGTCCCTCTTCCTGAAGGAAGCTCCAATGACTGTCTCTCTGTCACAGAGCAGGCTGTGGTGCTGAGACCTGTCGGGTTATCTCGGCTGTTTGAGGGGCCTGGAAAGGCCCGGAGTGGCCTTGGGACAGCCCGCGTATCGAAGGACGAGAAGAGGCTTCAGTTCTTCTTTCGGTTTTTATGTTTATTAATTGTTTATCTAAAAGATGTTCTTTCAGA